AGTTCCCATGAATCTGTTCTGTGCAACATATAAAGAACCATAAAGAAAAGAAAAACAACACTCAGGAGTGTGAATTTAGACCACAAAGAATTTCCTAACGGATGAAACCAGAAATTTCTCAGCAGACACACCTGTAGCCCAAGAGGGTTTTACCTTCTCAGCATCCACAACCTGCTTTACAGAACAGGGTATCACAATACACCTTTTACAATGAAAAGCATCAGGCAACTCAAAACTGAATTGCTGATAGCGTTTCCTTATACTATCACTTGTGCATATATATACACATATATATACTACTTATCACTTGTGCATATATATATATATATATAACTTATCTCTTATGACTCCTAAATTGTGTAAGGCTGCAATGGCTTTATCTGCCAAACACCAGAGGCTGGCTCTGGCTGTTACCATCACTCACGCAAGGGGAGTCACAGGCAGTGAGCAGGGATTCGCTGTCAGCTCATTTCTAACTGCTGATGGCTGATTCATCATCAGGGTTTGTGAATGCACAGACCAGAACTACACCCACTTAATATTCTGTCTTACTATGTGCTTAACTACTAAGAAAATCAACATTATGAGAGGAAGAACAAACAGCCCAGAAAAGCAGAATATTACAGCCAGCTCTGCTTTGATCACGCACTTTCACGTTCATTTTTGGATGGAACAGCAGGTTTAAACAATCCCACGTTTTAACCCAACAGTCTGCTGTGCCCCAAAAATCAATCTCTCATTGTGCCAGGATTGTTTTGTGGTGCCATGCTATGAATCACTCTAGAGAATTAACTTGGCTGAAAAAATATACTTCTTTTTGCTCTGTTGTTTTTTAGACAGATTAGTTTCTTATTAAACCCATGGCAGACCTGAATAAATACTGGAAGGGACAGTGAAAGGGCAGGAGTGCCTTGAATCAGTGCTGCTGACAGAGACACAGCAACTCCACAGTTAGCAGAACTGGTATTTGGCAAACTTCATTCCCCCCTGCAAACTACCTTGCGTTCTTCACAGAAACAGATGAAAAAGCTAACTGGACTGAAAAAAATAAATCTAGTAAAGAAGATGTGGCTGAGTAAATAAGTAATACTAAAGACCTATACATGGAACCACAGAGATTAACACACATAATCAGGTATGGATGGGGAGACAAAGCAAAGAGAGAGAATCAGGCTGATTAGAAATGGGTAGGTAGAGGAAGAGATGAACCAAACTGAAAGGGGAAAGTACTAAAAGCAAAATAATGACAAAGAAAGGAAAGAGTATAAAGTGCTGAGGAAAGCAAAGCATAACAAAATGAGGACAGACATTAGAGCAAGGAAAGCAGTGTCATTAAAAATGCCATCAGATACGTTATCACACTTTCATCCTTCTCACATTAGGAAACCAGTAATTCACCAACTACCAAACCAAGGCCCTAGGCTTCGGATTCTGGGGATTAAAAGACTATTGTTCCTCAGAAGATCCAACTCTCAGTCTGCAGTCCGAAATATCTGCCTTTGGCAGCTGTACCTGGACTAATTCAGAACAGATTCCATAAAGAAAAGAACTATCCACACATTCAAAAGGGAGAAAGCATGCACTGGAGAGTGTTAAAAATCTTACACTGATTCACACTGACCACTTTACACTTACTTACACACTGATGCAGGCTTCCCTTCAATGTATCACAAGCACCCTTTCACATTCCTTGCAGACACCAGCTCCTTGCCATGGGCAAGGTTACCTGACAGCAAGGTGAATCTGTTGGGCATCAGTTGCTGAAAGGATGCAATCTACCCTGGCCCCACCACCTCCCAAATATTACTGAGTTTTCAATGGTGGTTTTTTTGTTGCTCGTTGCTTTCTCTGCTACTGTGAACGTTCCTACTACCTTCTCATAGAATCCTAGAATAGTTTGGGCTGGAAAGGACTGGAAGATCACCTAGTTCCAACCCCCCTGCCAGGGGCAGGGACACCTCACACTAAACCATGCCACCCAAGGCTCTGTCCAACCTGGCCTTGAACACTGCCAGGGATGGAGCATTTACCACTTCTTTGTGCAACCTGTTCCAGTGCCTCACCAACCTCACAGTAAGGAACTTCTTCCTTTTATCTAACCTGAACTTGCCCTGTTTCAGTTTAAGCCCATTTCCCCTTGTCCTATAACTACACTCCCTGACAAAGAGTCCCTCTCTGGCATCCTTGTAGGCCCCCTTCAGATACTGGAAGACTGCTCTGAGTATGTTTTTCTCCTTCTCTTTCCCTATAGTACTGTCATACGTAGAACAGAAGTATGTCCAAAGCAACACCCAGAGAATACAAGCCTCTTCTCCCTGGGGAATCCGATCAGTCCCCTCTTTGCAAAAGTCTGAGGAAGCTGGATAGATCTTTAACTCTTGAGTACCACCAATTAACTCCAGGAAAACAACATACAACATTTATATGATTCCTAATAACATTTGCCAACAGTCCCTAATTTTGCAACACACAACTAAAAGAAGTGTAATTTGAAAACAGGATAAAACTTTAAAATTAATCAGTCCTGTTTGATAGTGAAAACCAGCTCCTTTCCACAACAGTCACAAACTGCCACCTTGCTGCTGTCAGAAGTGTGACCTGTGCTCAAGCCTCATTAAAAAAAAAACCGGAATTAAACTGAAATCTTGTGAAATATCAATCTTGAAAATGAACATTGACCTCTATTGTTCTGTTGCTGCAGGCAAGGTTAGCTGATTTAAACAATGGCTGAGGGAGCTGTGCAGCCAACATCACCCAGCATCATTTGTCAAATTGCTCTTTCAGGTAGATGCAACTTAATGGAAAATTTCTGTTTCCTTTCAATTAAGCTGCACAAAAGATGCCTCTTACAATAATTCTCTTCTAACTGCTAGATAAGAGCACCACCTGGTGGTCAGACAATTAAACATGCTTTTGGATCCGGTTTTTTTGTTTGCTTTGGGGTTTTGGTATTGGTGGGGTTTTTGGGGGGTGATGGGACTGCTTTGGGTTGGTTTTTTTTAAGCAAAACTACTCTGTATTGGATCTACCTCCATGAGGTAGGCACAGAAAAGCTGTAAAGCAAGCTAGGAAAAATTACTTTGGTGGGTGAGAGAAACGCAGAACAACTGAAAGGAATTGCTGGGGGTTTATATATAACTATTTCCTCTTAAAAACAAAACTATATAGTACTATACGGCTTCTTGGAATATTTTCCATCTTCAATAATCATCATATTGTCCTAGAATGGTTTCGGGGTTGGAATGGATCTTAAAGCTCATCCAGTTCCAACCCTCTGCAACAGGAGGTGTACCTTCCACCAAGTCATGCTGCTCCAAAGCCTGCCTTGAACACTGCCAGGGACGGGGCAGCCACAGCTTCTCTGGCATCCTGTGCCAGCGCCTCAGCACCCTCACAGTAAATTTTGCTCATTATGGGTATGCTATAATTAGTTCTTATGTCTTCAGGGATCCTGGAGAACAACTGCTCCCTCACACACCAACAGTTACATACTGCCCCCTACCAGCATCACAACCCTTTCACAACTCTGCACCTTCCTGCTGATATGCTATTCTCCCCATGCAGAAGCCAAAACCCTTCCTCCTCCTCAGTCTTTACAAAAATAAGGCCTAGTATGTGCCTTCTGGCTGTTTACCTTAACCATTTCCCTCCCAGTTGTGTGAACTTTCACTTACAGGCACTCAGAAGAAGACATCAAATTATCTACCAGATCTGTGTTAGAAAGATAAATGTGGGTCTTTCTTTGCCTTTCAGAAGGTACTTTGCAAAAGACAGAGCACAGAGGCAAGTCAGATAACATGTAAGCTATACCTCACTAGAAATCCTATTCCATTCAATCACTAATTTACATTCAAGATTTGAGACCTCATGGATCTGCACTAGTTTTTCACCTTCCGAATAAAAAAAAAAACCCTAAACCAACCAACCTTTGACTGGCATTTTCGCAAGAGCTCTGTTTAACAACAAAAATAAATCACAGAATCATAAATAATAAACAAAAGATGACAATAAAATTTGCCAAAACACCTCTCAAACATATTTCAAGTTTCTTAAAGACTGAAAGTGTTCCCCATTTTAGCACTCACACACTGTGGCCTATTTAAACCTACACAAATGTGTTTAGCTGTAGTCTGCTGTGACTCTGTATGAAAAGGCTAGGTCCTTTGCAAGGAAATACTGCTAATAAAACAGGGTAAATAAGACATTCACTTGACAGAAAAGTGTCAGATGATACTGTAAACTAAAAAACAGTTTAGGTACTATTTAGAAGTATTAAGTAACACCAGATTGTCCTTGTGAGACCGATAATCATCCACCAGGCCAACGAATTTAGTCAAGGACTTGCGTTAACATAAATCACAAGGACTTACATTCTGCATCTCTGGAGATATGCTATGGATCCTCTCAAAAGTATTAGTTCTGTTTATACCCACACCACTTGCTAGAGTGAAAAGACATGCAGAACTTCAATTTCAAATATTTAGAAAATACAAAAGACCTGGAGACAAGTTCCAAGCTTCTTTTTAAAATGTAAGAGAGAAGGGGGGAAAAAAAGGTATACAGACTAAGAAACTTAACAGCTAACATACAGCTAAGACATGCAAGAAGTAGAATTCACTGTAAGTTGAGAGGAAACATCACACACTGGAATCTTCATTAACTCCAGAGAATTCCTCAAAGAAAGGTAAAAGCGAGGAACACAAACCAACCAAAAAGAACCAACCAAAAGAAAAAGCCACCCCCAACACTACAGACCCTACTTCTGATCTTTGCCAGCTACCAGGAGCATGAACAGCAGTTACAGCTATTACAAAGAAAGGCAACCACAGGAATGGAAGAGGTGGTGGAAAGAGTTAGAAACAGCTGTCTATTTTACCTAGGCATTTATAGCTCCCTACCTAAAACAGGAATAATTAACATAACCCATTCATTTGCTTTCAGACTTCTCAATTCTGTAACTATATTATCAAAGTTCAGTTCCCCAACAAGCACCCTCTTACCTGTTCGTTGGAGTGGTAAAGCTAAAAGACAGCAGCTGATTCCAGAACGGGTCATTCTCAGAGATGGGCTCTGCACCTGATAACTTTTTTAAGTACTCATTTTCTGGAAGCTCACTGATGCTGCTGCTATTTGCTCCCATCTTCTTTGTTTGGCAAATAGGTGTCTAAATCTTCATTTCTTCTAGAAAAAAAAAAAAGAGGAACATTTAAAGTCTTGTGTACAAATACAGAATAGACAGACCCAGAATTAGTAAAGCTTTAGTTCACAACTTTGAACAATTACTGAAATGTAGAAAATAGGCATACAGGAAGATAGTATTAAAAGATTTTCTTTCAAAGAACTTGGGACAACACCACCTCCAGCCAACGAAACTAAAAGTTACTGTGCTACATACTTCAGTCATCATCTCACTTAGATTTTCATAAATCACACGGCAGTAACAGTGTCACACTTGTACCAATACGAAGGCTGCTACCACTGGGGAAAAACTCAAGGAATTCACAATTTAAACAGAGGTGTCAAGTCAACAAACTGTTCAAAAAATGTATTTTCCAACTGAATATACCTAGATAGAATATTACTCCTGTTGCCAAGAACAGGAGTCCATCATGCAGCTAATTTCTGCATGCCATCAATGATCCACACCTTGAAAGCAGCCACCTTGCTGGAACAAGCACAGTGGTTACCATGCTACACAGTAAATTTGAATTAAGTGAGGAAAGGTACTACTGAACCTCTTGATATTTGCAAAATAACATGGTTGGTTCCAGCCAACTACTTCAATGGGGGAAAGCTAAAAAATGAACACATCAGAAACAACTGCTTTTTGAAGAAACACTGAACAAGTCGGCAGGGATATGCTCCAAAACATCTTTTCATTACTTGCTGTGCTGCACTGGATCTGTGTGAAGAATGAAAAGACTTCAATTCTTCATGCTGCTTATCAGCACTTCATAAACAATTTAATTAAAGAAAATAAAAACACCACGATGCAATTAACTATGTGTCAGGGATGCTCCTAAGCATCTTAAACCTTTCCAGGACATCAGCTTTAATAATCTCCCACCTTTTGAGGGGAAATAACAGTGACCAATAGCATTATAAGTTTGTATTTAAAAAAACACCCCCATCAAGATAAAAATGCTGTGCAACACATTACTGTGAAATATTCACTCCTCAGCTGGCATAAGACAGAAGAACAGAGACAGCTATATCAGAAGCAGCAACACCTCCCTTGGTCTCAATAGGATTTGTTCCAAGAATTACCCCAGCACTGATTCTCTCAGACCTGTATTTGCAGAAGCAATTACTTCCAGAAAAGAGCATTCTAACAGCAGTTTATATGAACATAGATCAGTACAAAAACAAAGAGAACTGACTATAAAGAAAAAGAGATGCCATGAAAAGCTGCAATCACAGAATCATAGAATAGTTTGGTTTGGAAGAGACATTCAAAGGTCATTTGGTCCAAACCCCCTGCAATGAGCACAGACATCTTCAACTAGATGAGATGTCTGCAGCCATCTGAAAGGCTACCTGAAGAACTTATATCAAGATTTAGAGGGAATGCACAATACCCAAGTATTTCAGAAACAAGAAAGTGCCAGCACAGATGGAGAGTAGAATACAGAATACTTAATACTATTAAGTAATAAAGAGGTATTTAAAAGCTGACACCACACAAAAATGAGGAAAATGTTTATTATTTTCTAAATTTTGTTTGCAGGGGACACTATAGGCTAGGAAAATACCACTCCAAGCTCCTCCCCCTTCATTCTAAGGCTCCATCCTCCACTATCACTATTCACTGCTCGAGGAGACACTGAAATAAAACTTTACACTGAACCAGGATATCTGTTCTTACTCCTACTCCACTGCTGTAACTCTGTTATCATTCACCCAGGGAGCTCCTGTTTTATAACGCAATTTAGTTTCTACCACTTCCCTTTATATCTGACCAATTGAGAGAGATACAATGACCTTATAACCTTTTATATGTCTCATATAGCAAAAAAACTCTGACAATACTGTCTATAGCATTTGCAGAAGTCATTTTTGCCATAAAGACTACCTGCAGGAAGAGAAATATAAAAGCAGCCTAAGAGTAAAAAAGGAAGTTGGTGCCAGGGAATTCTGTGGAGAAGCAATAAAGGGTTATAAAATGTAATTAGTTTAAGAGGATTTACAGAACTTTGGTTGAATGCTTACTCACACAACAGAATGAATGCATCTGACCTACACACAAGTTTTGCTGCCTCACAGAAAAAGACCAACACTCAGTGTACGCTACCTTTGAAACAAAGCCAACGAATACTGAAGCAATAGAATAACGAGGAGAAACCAAATTTTTCATAATATCAGGGAATACTGGATCATCACTTAGAAGCAGAACCAAGGTTCAGCTTGTGCATGAGCATATCAGCTCTGCAGCCCCTGGCTTGCACTTGTCCAACCGCTGCAGAAGCAAACACCAGTGCCACTAGCCCTGGACCCATACTTTGGCTCAAGTCCCCTCTCAGCACCTTTGAATAATTTAAAGGTCTGGGGAGACCTTAGAGCAGCTCCAGTGCCTAAAGGGGCTGCAGGAAACCTGGAGAGGGGCTTGGGACAAGGGCCTGTAGGGACAGGCCAAGGGGAATGGCTTGAACCTGCCCGAGGGGAGACTGAGCTGAGCTCTTAGGCAGAAGCTCTTCCCTGTGAGGGTGCTGAGGCGCTGGCACAGGGTGCCCAGAGAAGCTGTGGCTGCCCCATCCCTGGCAGTGCTCAAGGCCAGGTTGGACACAGGGGCTTGGAGCAAGCTGCTCTCTGTGGCAGGGGCTGGAACTGGATGAGCTTGAAGGTCCCTTCAACCCAAACCACTCTGTGGTTCTATGAAATTAAGGCATAGAAAAAGCGAGGCTATTCCACCAGGTCACAACAATTTGTACCTAATCCTCACTTATCCGTGATTTTCATACAATCAAGGCCCCACCACACAGCAAGGCAAGGCAAGCGGATCCCAAAGCCACTTCAGAAGACCAAGTGGAACAGCTTCTGCTTAGTCATGTGCTGAAGCAGGACAGCCACACTAAGCACCAAATAACAGGAAACCCCCGTTGTCCTGAATTCAGCTCTCCTTCTTAGCAGCTGGTGCTTAAACTACGACACCCATGCACTCCAAAAAAGTCAGTTCCAACCCTAGAAGTAAATTACGAATGAAATCTAAATTTTTTTTCTGGAAATACATTGAAAAAAAGAAAGAAAAAAAAGCATGGTTCACCAAAATAAATAAATAATTAAAGTCATCTTTTGAGAAGCATTAACCTATTTTTTCCTTAAGAAAAAAAGACAATTTATTAGCAAGTCATTTGGTTTAACATAGTATTATTACTTATACATATCACAACTGTTTCTTTCTAAATAAACTGGGAACACCTCCAAAGAATCACAGTTTTGTCTACAACTGACATGCTTTATTAAACCCAACACCTTTTCAGTCCTAGAACTTGGCTCTGTGCTGTAGCAGCAGACCCTTCAGAGTAAACACAAGGAAGTTTGTTTCACACAAGGACTCATCCCAAACTCAAACAGCTATGGGTAGATAGAAATCCTGAGTTTACTGTTCCTTCTAAAGGATTTTAATATCAATTATTAACAGTGTTTACAAGAACACCATTTTTCCCTCTTCAAGTTGAAAGCAATTCAGCAGTACATACATGCTGTGTTTGAGCCCATGACTCAAGGTACAGCATGTGTACTGCTGATCCTGGAAAAAAACTTGTCACGCTCTCTAAACCTTCTAATTAAATAATTTTAGGTAAGTAATTATGGGTCCACCAGGTAATAGATCTCCTACTGGTCTCACAACTTAACTCCCAATGTTGACATTTTGCTAATCGCCCCCTTCCAAAGCTATCCTCACCGCGGGCATGTGGCTGAGTCTGCAGACAACCTGAATAATGAAGATTATATACAGCTGTGGTTTGCTGTTTTGGGGTTTTATGTTTGGTTGGTTTGGTTTTTGTGGTTTGGTTTAAGTTAGTACTTTAAGGCGTAAGAATTTGAGGCAGGCATGCAGATGACTTTACCATCTGAGATCTGATTTGTAGGTTGGGTCTTTAGCACAACCATATTAAAATAAATTAAGTGATGCTATTATACATTTGAAAACCTAAAAAATTTCATTTCCACACATAACAGCACTTGGCTACCTTCATAGTTTGCTGCTTTATAAACTAAAATTAATGGACATTGTTCTCCTTTCCAGCAAAGCAGCCAATGCCACTGTAAAGATGAGAACATTTGAGATGTAATGCTGCTTATTCAAGTATTACCAAAGCAGCTGCACTGAGGCTTTTGGCCGATCCCTATTTGCTTCCAAGAACTTCAGGTTTCACACCATTTTTCACCCATAAGACATTAAAACGTCTCAAAAAATCCTAACATAAAACTTCCCCCACAGTTATAAGATTACTGCAATATATATATAATGCTCTCAACACAATGGAAGCTACACTGACGGTAGGCATTATTCAGCTCCAATATTTTAATTTTACTGTCCACACAATATATTTGAATTCTGTCTACTCATTTATATGACAATAATATTTATACCTGAACCCAGGACAATACCTAAGGATCAAATGCTTTTGTGTACAACACATACCTACACGACTAATAAACAGGTAACAGCATCATAAGATAAAGAACAGTCTGACAAAACCTTAAGCTACATCTTGCAGATCTATATTCACGTGCAGGGTCAGAGTTACCTGTCTACAGGAGCTGTGCAGCCCTCAGGTTTGTTCATGGGAAGCACCTGTTTAATTTCTTTTACCCTGCTTTACTAGACCAGGGAAAGCTGCATTAAACCAGAAGCCCTGCTTCTTTTGACGCCTTTATCAAGCTCCTCAAACCCAGCAAACCAGCTTTTGCAACTCACTAGCCCATTTCTGTATTCTCAAATGAGTGATTTATTCCTATTAAAATATTCCCATTTCCAGGCAAGACAAAATATCTCAAATGATCTCCAGGCCCACTGAAAGAGAGGCAATCAAACTGAAAACAGGAGATCGGATAACTCCAAACCTGCATGTACTGCTTTAATCCTCACCCCCTTGCACCTTGGCTTTGCCAATCCTTTGCCGTGTTTCATCACATCCCAGAGACTGCAGAAACTTTCTGATGAAAGAGATGTTATTTCTATCCACCAGTGAAGCAACACAGCCCTCTGGGACACAAAAGAAATCACAGGATCACAGAATCCCAGACTGGGTTGGGTTGGAAAGGACCTTATTGCTCATCCAGCTTCAACCCCTGCCACAGGCAGGGACACTTTCCACTACAACAGGTTGCTCCAAGCCCCTGTGTCCAACCTGGCCTTGAACACTGCCAGGGATGGGGCAGCCACAGCTTCTCTGGGCACCCTGTGCCAGCGCCTCAGCACCCTCACAGGGAAGAGCTTCTGCCTAATGCCTGGAAGCTTCTCTATAGTGTCCCTGGAGCCTTCTCTTCTCCAGGCTGAACCAGACCAGCTCTCTCAGCCTGGCTCCAGAGCTGAGCTGCTCCAACCTCCGTGGCCTCCTCTGAACTTGCTCCAACAGCTCCTATTAAATGAACATGGATACTGGAAAACCAAAGAGATTTGATACCAGCAGCTAAACTAGAGCTTCTCTTCCCTAAATCATCTGTAGTTGCTTCCTGCCCACTTCCAGAAAAGAAGGCAACAGTCAACAGACCCTATAATTTAAATGTCAGTTAACTCACTGAAGTATGCATGTAAGTATCTGAAAAGCAAAGTGACACTGCTCCCTCCCTTAAAAGGGATGGCTTTGCAGCTTTCCTTGCATACAAAGTGCTTATTCCACTGTACCTGCTTGGGGAATTGTTTTGGTGTTGTTAGTGAGGTTGGGGAAAAAGAACATGCAACAAGAGATGTGACTTGATCTTTCTTCATACATAAAAAGCAGTCATACCAATATTTCACTCACAACAAGAGATCATTCATACCCCAAAATGAGGTACAAAAGCATATGAATTTGGGGTTTACCAATTAAATTGGTAACATTTTGCTAAACAAAAGTGATAGTGCAGAAATACACGGCAATAAGCATTCGTGCCTGTAACAGGAGCTTGAGGGGGGAAGGAAAAATCTTCACAACCCTCAGAATTCAGGAAATTTTGCCTTTTTGAATTAGAGAAAAGCACTGAAACAATCTCTGCTTTTAAAGCATGTTAATGAGTCAAAATATTTGAGCTAAAACTTAACGCCTGGCAATCATCAAATGCAGTCAATCCACTACTAAGAATTCATGTTCTTTTATATGCCAGCCACTTACAACCGAGCAGCTTGGGAGATTTCAGGGCACAATTAATGCATCCTTCATGACTACAAATTAAAAACGCTTCCTACTGATTTTAAGTTAATGACTATTGCAGGAAAGACTGTGCTCATTTTACTTTTCACTGTACTGACTCATAATTTTCCTCCCCTTTTCTGCTGCATGTTTGGCAACCACTCCTTTCACCAGTTCCCTCTACCCATACGCCTTTATCTTACAGACTGAAAGTGTTCAGACACATACAGTGACCCCCCAAAAAAGAGAAAAAATAAATACCTGTCAAGATATTGTTCAAATTGTCTATTTGACCAATATCTAGAAATATCCCTATTTTCCCTCTACCCACTATTTTTTAGGCTCTATCAAGTTTGATAGTTACTGTCTGAGGTCATGAAAGTCTCCATTATGTCTATGATCTTTTAAAACACATTTTTCTGCACCACAGGACACTAACCATTCACCACGTACCAAAGCGTGTTTCCTTAAAGCTCAACACCTGAGGACAGATGTACTTTTGGACAGCAGTTAATATATACAACACAATTATGAAGTGCTCCACACAATGCTTAAGTACAAGAAAAATAAAGAAAATGCCATGTTCAGGTCTTTAGGTAGCTCTCAATAAAAATCATCTGACTTGACCACTCTTTAGTCTGCTGGATGAACAAACACAGTATTTTTTTTTTCATCGTTCTGTAACTTGTTCTAGTGCCTTCCTCTTCTGCAGCAAGAGCAGCACTGCAGTGACATTAGCGTGGTCCTTACGGGTTCCACTGAAGCCTAAAGAGTCTTGCACATAGCAGAAGTGATTAATCTTGATAGATTTACTGCAGGCAAAGAAGGCCACTCATAGGGAAGGCGAACAGCAGCTGCAAAAACCAGTGATGATGCTGTGTTTTCTGCTCCAGTTCCTTTCCCACATCATTTTATGTAGGAGTCAGTCATCAATAAAAGCCTAATTCTGAAGAGCACAATCTGCTCGCTTCACATCCCACCTACAGGACAGTTTTTCTGCTCACAGCTGAAGAAGGGATTTTTCAAGACCCTTTTGGTTAGGTGTATTTCAAGCAGAAGAAATGGGATATGAGCAGGAGAAATGGGATCTTGTGGTTGCTGACCAAACTGCTCAACAACAGATGGTACAAATCACCTTTGTCTTTGCCAGTTCACCCTATGGTAATCTCAGAGTTTGCCAGAAAGTGTTCTGGAAAGGAGGTGACAGAAAAATGAAAACCTAAATTCTATAAATGAGACTAATATGTACATCTTATGTATCTTCCCAGTGCCATCTCAGGAGCCTAATACATATTTTCCATATAATCACTAAGCAACAGGTTACTGTTACGGTGATCAAATCTCCTGATTTCAATCACTAAGGAAATGCCTGTTTACTAATCTCAAAACAGCTTATTTCAGATGTACTATTGTCACTATCACTGGTTACCTTCAGAGTCTTGTCCCCAAATGGGACTACTGACTCACAGGGGAGAACTACCATCAAAACGTTGCCCAAACTGCCTTTCTCTGAAGTTATACAAGATCCAAAATAACTTGACATAAAAATGCCATTCCTTCTTACTGCTCCAGCCTTGTGCCTGAGAACAAGAACATCTGAAACACACTGCTGTAAGAAATATGAAATTGTTACATTATGGCTCTGGTCACCAATAAGGAAATATATGTGATAAATAATAATCTTGTTTTGAAGACCTAAACCCCCAAACTGTGCTATCTCCACCCACCATGTATCAGCCCTTACATTAGCACATACCCATTAAGTGGGGCAGAAACCCATTAAGTCACACAACCAATTTACCTCTTATTTACCTCTCTCCCCTCACTCACAATGTTTTGTCAGAGGCAAGACTGCAGGAACGTACCAAACCTCCTGAAGGAGCTTTTCCAGACAGGATGCGAATCCCACAGACACCTGTTAAGAAGTTCAGAGAGCCTTTATTTAACTTTTACAAGTAAATAAGCATTTATAGCATGTAAGTACTTCTTTGTCTAATTTACACACATTCAACAAAACTTATCTTTAGTTCATTATAAAATTAAATACAAAATTTATAAATTCATTATAAAGTTCAATATGAAATTCCACAAGATCTGTTAGGGACTCTTTAATTTTGACCATTTTCAATGCTGCTAATTACACTCCCACACTAAACCACAATACCTGTGGCTAAACCTCCCTGAAGGTTCAAAAGCCTCTAGAATTTGTCAGGAACTAACAAAATTTTAACCTGCAAAAACTATAAAGATCCTTTTCCTGACCTCCTACATAATTCCAGTCACAGCATTTTATTAAATAATTACTGCACCCAGCCTACCAATTTGAGAGTGGAATGACAGCACCAGTTTCAGAAATACATCCTGTCATAGCGGGAAGAAGAGGTGGTGTGGGGGCAATTAAAGAAATAAAATTACCTCTATCCTCACTCTTACATTCCTACATGCCAAGTAAATGTCAGAACTTGAACACAGCAAGTGTTTTCTGGAAGACATGCAGAGATAATTTCTATAATTTGATTAGCAAAGCGCCATTAGAAGGAAGGAAGGCTGGGGCAAGCACTGAGTAAAAGGATCCACTTTTCTCCACCTGTTAAACGACCACTACAGGCATATAGCCTATTTTTCAAAAGTTTCAAGCAGTGTAAATTCAAATACTAATCCTGCTCTTTGCAGTGGCCAGGTATTTCTTTAAAGGTTTCATTTGCCCTCACCAGTGGCATTCCTGCTGCTGTACTGGAACTATAAAGTGAGAGGAACAAATTGAACTTTAAACAGAAACATCAATAGAATAAGGAGCTTAAAAAAATAAATCAAGAGTACGCATAATCCATACAAAGACTTGACTTCACAGCTTAAGAGTATCCTGCATATCAGTACCAATATTTCTGGTTCAACTGTAACTTCTTACAGAGACAAAAAAGACACTTTTGTTACCCTATATACAGCAATGGTTTTCAAAAGCACAGTTTTACACAGACTACATAATGATCTATTCCGGATTATAGTGCTGAAAATTTTGTTTGTTATGAAAATGTTTTATGATTATTGATGAATTTGCCGCTACTTTATTTTTTAATAATTATTAAACCTACTTAAAAAAGAACCTCTAGTAATTCATTAATTTACTAACATAATTAAAATGGGCAGCTGGGTTGGATATAACACACAAGTCATGCTAAACGTAACAAGATTTAATAATCTGCATAACCAGCGGTTTGGTACAGTTATCTCTTTATGGAAGGGATGTTAAAATTATTGTTACAGGTACTTAAGATTTTCTCCCTAATTTACTCTCAGATATAAATAAATCTTGTGTAACGGCCAAAATGATGTTTAAAAAGGAAAATAAATCAAACTCCTTTTAAGATTCAAAAAGATGCTTAGATGCTTATTAAAAGGTCTGCAATTTTTTTTATACTGGTAGATTTTGCTATATTTCAAAGCTTACACAATTATTTTGGCATCTGTACTCTTCCCACAATTGGGCATTATGCATATTTTTCCAACAGAGCTATTTGTCTCTCCTTTAACTGTCTCTCACAGATAAAAATCCACCTAGAGCATAAAAAAGCATGTTATACAGAAGGCCAAATGCGTTTTGCATGTATACGCAATTTTATATGATACAACACATCGTGATTTATCTCACCTATCTCCAGAGTCTGCTGCAAATGAAATTACACTTGCCGAAGTGTGCAGTTACCACAAGGTGCAGCAGTCTTTCCACTCTAGAGAATACACTTTGAAGAAATGCTGCTATCACCTTTAACCATGCACTTTGACATCAGCTCACCAGCCGCCAAACAGGACTCCTTACTTTGTAACATCTGTTAGTCACCAGCATGTTAAAAACAGGCTGGGATCTTCCTGTGCGTCTGATAAAAATTGCTGGAAGCACCAGAGCCATATAAATTTGTTATGAATTTGCTATAAATACTTTCCTACTGAATTTATTATAAAGTATTAAGCATTAGAAGCTGTGCTACTAAAAGATCAGCAAAGGACAGGAAGAGATGGAGCTCATCTCTTCAGCCAGATGAGAGAGCTGTCCATGGGCTTCTGCTGATGCAGCAGTAACATGAAAACAGAAAACAATCCAAGCAGAGGATGAAATGTGGCCTCCCTGAGCTCCTGGCAATTTAAGGAGCAAGGACACATTTTAACTCACCCCAAATGGAGCAAGTTCATAGACTCATAGATCAGTTTGGGATGGAAAGGACCCTCAAAGCTCATCCAGTCCAGCCTCCCTGCAATAAGCAGGGACATGTTAATCTAGACCAGGTTGCCCAGAATCACATCCAGCCTGGCTTCAACGGTTTTTAGTTGGGAATTGACTAAATAGGGGATTGCACAACCCAGCAGCCTGTGTTAGGAAACTGGAACCAACCACCCGGGAGCTCCTTCTGCTCCCCCACACTCAGAAAGTGCCCAACAGGGGAAATATTAACAACCTACTTACTTGAATAAATACCTCAAATGATTGTAACTGCAGCCCAGCATGTTATCCATCAGTGCATGCAATGGCATAAATGAGATTACAGCCTCGCTACACTTGGTGCAAAAGATTAAACACTAACAATAATAATTACAGAATCATAAGAACATAGAATCAGAGAGCGGTTTGGGTTGGAAAGGACCTCAAAGGTCATCCAGCTCCAACCCCTGCCATGGGCAGGGACACCTTCCACTAGAGCAGGTTGCTCCAAGCCCCTGTGTCCAACCTGGCCTTGAGCACTGCCAGGGATGGGGCATTTATATATAAATTTAGAACAGTTCTTGCCACCAGCTCCTGTTTGAGGTCAATTTGGTCCAGGCGGAGTTAGTAACTAATAACAAACGAACAGTGCCTGGTGTGAAAGCATACAAGATAATGCCTGATACCTGTTAAGGTAAAAACTCTTTTCAGCTAAGCCATTCCCCACTCTTGCTAATTATTATCCCTGGGAGGAATGAAAACAAACAGCCAAGAGTGACCACGAGGCACAGGGCGCCTGAGCAGACCCGCTACACTGCAGAAGCAACCCCTGGACACTACAACCCCCCGGCTCCCAACAGAAGAATGGAAAATACGACATTTTATACTGTTTTCATGAATAATAAGCGTCATTAAGCGCGCAACAGCAGCAATGCGGGGAGAACGCTCTCCTACACACTCTGACGCCTGCACTGTGGTGACAGCAGCAGCCCCGCAGCGCTGAGGGACCTCTGGAGACCGGGAGGGCCGGGGGGACACAGTGGGGCCGCTGTCTAGGAGCGGACACCGGCAGCGCCGGGAACTCTCCGCAGGTTCAGTGCTGAGCGCTCCCGCACCGCCGCAGCCCCTCCATCGCCACAGGGAGCGGTGGGAGTCGTGACAAGGGACAACCGGCACCCTGAGGGCGGGTGGCAGCTCCCTGCGCTCCCGCCAGCACTGATCGGCGCCCACCCCCTGCGGCGGGCCGGGCCCGGAGGTACCGCCGAGGCCCCGCTTACCCCGTCAGCGGCGCCCCGTCCACTCGCACCGCAACGCCGCAAGGCAGGAGGCGGCCGGTACCGCGGGCCCCGCCCGGCCCGGTACCGAGTGCGTCCTCCGCGCGTCCCCCCGCCCTGCCCAGCCCCCCTCCGCTCCGCTTCCCTCAGCGGCCCGCGCGCCCGTCGCCGTTGCCCGTACCCACCGCCCGCGTCCGGCCTTCCACGTCGCCAACGCGCAGCGCCGCGCATGCGCAACGGCCCGCGGGGAGGGTGCAATGGGGCGGCGCGGGGCACGCCGGGAAGTGTAGTCCTGTGGGGGGAGCGCGGCTCTGGACAGGGGTGCTCCGAGCCCTTGTGTCCGACCGGGCCTTGAACACTGCCAGGGATGGGGCGGCCACAGCTTCTCTGGGCACCCTGTGCCAGCCATCGCTGCTGCCTCTGGGACAGAGGAGGCCATGGAGATGCTGCGAGGGCTGAAGCAGCTCTGCTCTGGGGCCAGGCTGAGAGAGCTGGGCTGGGGCAGCCTGGAGAAGAGAAGGCTCCTGAAGGGGAGACCTTAGAGCAGCTCCAGTGCCTAAAGGGGCTGCAGGAAACCTGGAGAGGGGCTTGGGACAAGGGATGTAGGGACAGGCCAAGGGGAATGGCTTAAACCTGCCCGAGGGGAGACTGAGCTGAGCTCTTAGGCAGAAGCTCTTCCCTGTGAGGGTGCTGAGGCGCTGGCACAGGGTGCCCAGAGAAGCTGTGGCTGCCCCATCCCTGGCAGTGTTCAAGGCCAGGTTGGACACAGGGGCTTGGAGCAAGCTGCTGCAGTGGAAGGTGTCTCTGCCCGTGGCAGGGTTGGAGCTGGATGAGCTTGAAGGTCCCTTCAATACCAAGAACTCTGTGGAGCAATGATCTCTGAGGTGGTTTTTGTGCTGGTTCTATAAATGCCCAATGGCTCCTTCAAACAGGAAACCTTTCCCAGTATGATCAGCCCAGAGAGTAATCCCATTATCACAGTGCATGATGCTAAATACGCAGCCCAGTTCTTACACACACCTGTAACTGGGCTGTTCAAGCCAACAGCACATATGCAAAGGTGGGGCGCAAGCACTGCATACACATTGCCACGTAAAGCAAATATCTTAGCACAGGGTTTGGCCTCATGTTCGTGTGGTGTTCTATCAGCCTGCCACGGCAATAAAAACCATGCAGAGCCAACAGAGTGGCTATAGAACAGGTAGGACTGTGTGCACAAAGGAGTTGAAATACAAGTATTGCTGCATCTCCCTCCATGAAAACACAACATTTCAAGTAGGTTATGTTTCAAATACAATGAAAGATCGAGCAGTATGATCGAAAACCACTCCTAGAGCAGGAGTCACAGTGTTCTAGGCCATTTCAATTAAACTGCTGCAGTCAGGTTCAGCGCAAAGCAGAAGTAATGACAGGCTGTGAAACAAAACATCGTTTGGTTCAGTGAGCATGTTCCAACAATCAGAAAACTGCACAGAGAAGATAATCTCTTCTTTCATATCATTCAGTTTAATGAAACAATTAGTTCTCATTGAAGGCACATTTAGTTAATCTAAAGTGTAAATTGAGTTTCTTGTCATTTCCTTTACCTGCAGCCTCTGAAAAGACTGCTGTCAGCAATCATGTTCCGCATTGTGCAGAAATCAAGGAGGAATGACTCCAAGGGCTTAAACTCAGCAGCATGCCCAGCAGCTCCCACAGGGCTGGGGCGTGATTGCTGCATTTGGGTAATGACAGCATATTGTGTTCCTGTCATTAGATCAGCTTTGCAGATAGAACTTAACTGTGTTCTGTGAGCACATCTGAATAAAGATAATTTTCCACAGAACTGGTTGTCAGCTTAGACCTCCTTGGAGGCTGATCCCATTCAATTTAACCTGCCAGAATTTCCTTTGCTTGCAGAAATCAGGCCCATCAAAATAATCAGCAATATAAAACTTTCTCAACTTCTATTTAAGAATTTTTGTACATATACTCGCTGGATTTTTTAAGGTGTACTTCAATCCATGTCTCTGGCAGTTAGCTACCTATGCAAACCAGCATATAGAAGGTACCATATCACATCTAGACCTTGCAATGAAGAAAAAAAGTATTTTAAATGAGTAGATTTGAATAATTTTTCAAATATTATTGTTTCTTCCTCCATAGTATTCATATAAGACCAGACAGCTTTAATGACGACGAATTTAGGACTAGATCTGCAGAACTCTAGTCCCTAAAGATTCCTACACTGCAGTTTCCTAAAGGTCTTGGAATAATGAAGCTGTTCCTTGGCCTCATAAACCTTAGATGTCCATTGCCATTATTAGGTGCCTATGCCCTTTTGTAAACCTTGCTTTTAGTAATGAATATATGCAGATCTTCTCAGTTACATTTACTTGATATTGTTCTCTCATGTGAGGATTTCCTTAATCTCTGCCTACTTACCTTTCTCAAGGCTTTGTGCACTTCCTTGTCTCCCAGCAGATGATCTCCTGCGCCCTTGCCCAGGCTCAGGCAGTTCCTTTGCTTTTTTACTATTCACAACACACAACAGGATTATTGACCTGTTCTTGGAAAATTACAAGCACAGAAGAGTTGCTGCACAAATATCCTGCCACACCTCATTCTGGAAAGTTCTGTGATGTAGATTACTCCTGTGAAACTGGAGCTAACAGAAGCACCAAAACACCATCTCAGAAAGCACAAATCACGCAGTTTTACTTGCATTATCTGCCCATTTTGCTTTATGCAGTCTCTCCAGTAGTGGCGAAACTGGTGTTTAACTAGCACACAGCTAGAAGCTTCATTCAGCCTGCAGTGGGATTTACCATACAGTTTATTTTCCCTGTTACTGTCTGAAGCACTTCCTTGTATAATCAGAACCCAAATAATTAATTATGCACACTTCATAATCAACCGCATACACTGACAAAGAGCCCCAGTACAGCTCTTGCTCTACTTTTTATTGTGTTTGCAGCTGTTAAGAGGTGAATTTATTACCCCAAAACTTGGGCCTGTTTATGAGATGCCCACCATTTCATTACAGTGGCTAAGGTTACCTGCCCTGGGACAGGAAACACTGTGCAAGGGACAATCTTGACAATGCAAGAACTCATGTTCAGCTGCACACCTGCAAGGACTTGCTTCTCCAGCCCTTTGAAAGGTGCTGTGCCTGACCTCAGCTCTGGAGTGCCTTTCTCAGGCAGTTTACTCCTTTCTCATCACAAGGCAGTTTCAGATAAAAGTTCCAAGCTTTCAGATTTAGAGCATGAGTTTTGACAGAGGAATTTATTGTTTGGGGTGAGGAGGTGGTTGATTTGTTTAGAAAACCCAATCCACCACAGCAGAGATTACATCCACACTTTACCAGGTAAAATTCTGATGGATAGGGTTGGGATGGATGGATGGATATGGTTATGATTCATTGCAACACTATGGGTGAAATGTTCAAAGATAAAGGACAAAACCAATTGGAAAATAGCACAGTTCCCTCACTTCCACTTTCCAATCCCTGTCTTTTCTACTACACAATCCACATAACACCACCCGTGAGAAGTTACAGGAGTGTACATTTAGTATTATCTTTTATTATATGAATTACACCATCTGTGCATACTGACAATAATAAAACCAGGTTTCCATATCACAAAGAGCAGGAACTTCACCAGTCTAGGAGAAAGCTGTAGCTGTGATACGCTGATCACATGGGGGTAACGTTCCAAGGATGATGCAAAAGCTCTTTAAACAGCAGTACCAAATTCACTTCCTAAGACTAGCTCATTAAGGGAGAGCAAACAGTTATTAGGCAACATCTCACTAGTTTTCTGTGATTCATCTCATTACAGGATTAACGGTGTAACAAGAGGGGCCTGATACCCAGCTGCAAACAATGCATATCGGTTCACACGAGACCTGACAAAACCAGGTACCAACAGGACACAATACAGGCATTTGGCTGGCATCAAGCGAGTCTTCAGAATAATTATCTTCTAGGAAGAAATGGGGCCACAGGAACAAGACCTGACCTCAGGAACAGTTCAAAGATTACATATATGCCTTTTTAAGCATACTTTTGGGAAAATGGTAAATCCAGAATGGCTGAAATGGTTTAATCTCGAATCTTTTAATGAATGCTCTGGTTTGGCAGAGAGGACAAAGCACGAACTATCATTTCCTTACTGAGCACAGGGGCATCTAAACCACTTCACAACTACAGTACCATGTTGGAAGGCAGGTCTGTTCCAAAACACATCTTCCCAAGGAGGAGGCGAAGCTGGACCTCACTAGTTCACTTTCTCTATCCCGAAGCCAGTAGTTTTATCCTCTCCTTCAGCCTGTCTCCAGTTTTTCAAAGATTTTGCTACTACTTTAGATACTTGTAGCTCAGAAGCCTAAGAACAACTGTATGAAGTATCTTACTTTCAAATAAAATCCTGGTTTATTATCATTCAACTTCCACAAGCACGTTGAAGAGATTTTAGTTGGATGTTTGCTTTTTTAGTTTATTTTTTAGACAGAACTGCACCATTTTAAACCACTGCAACAGAATACAATGCAACAACTTCCTTGCATCGTGCCCCTGGCTGCTCCCCTTCAGGAAAGGCACAATGTTTCAAGGAAAACAATTAATGGAAGTACAAAATCGAGACTTTCTGCTTTTAGCAAGCTAAGCAAATTCTGCATGTAGCATAATTCCTTTAGCTCATCTACAGATTTAACATGAAAAATCTAAACTCTTCTTAATGATGATGCTTCTGCCGCAATACAATTCATGGCTCTTTAGCAAGCAAGAGCAGCTTTAGTTTTCAAGGTGAAAGCCTTAAGGACTCCACTAGCAGTTAAAGAACCTAAGATGTTAAGATAAATTTATCTTCCAAAGCTTGACTTCGTCATAAGTTACTGAACCTAAACTCTAATGACAACAAATCAATTATAGATGAAAAGTAGTTCCAGTGAGGAAAACAAAGAACTTCAGTTTTTAAACATTTTAAATCAAGAAATGTGCTAGCTGCCATTTGAATTTGAGTGGCGAAAGAGACCTTCTCCTGTGAGTGATAAGGGGAGTTTATTCAGCTAAAACGTGCAAAGAAAAATGTCTCAAAGTGGGAGCAATATTATCAGTTCATACTGGACACAAGCGAATAAATTATTAATTCCCCTAATCCGCTTTCTTGTCAGAAACTTCGGTGGATCTTTTTGCAGCAATTCCATTTGCAACGCCATTGCTTTCAAACTGCAAATAAAAGACAGCATCATTAATGGGATGTCAAAAAAGGCCTTTGCACCTGGGACAGTAACAGCTGGTGATGGAAATGGCTTTCAGAAGCAAGGCCAGGGGAGATCCTGAAGAAATCTGCAGCAAGGACTGGAACAGAAGCTTCTCTTCAGATTGACATATCATTACTGCTTCAGGAGGGAAAAAAGGGAGAGAGAACAGATGCAAATCTCTGCATTTTGTTAGAGAAGATAAATAATAAATGCACAATTTACACACACCAAACATCTTCCCACATTGCAAGTGAAAGAGCTGGCTGAGGAGGGTTTTTTTAGTTCTGCTTCATGTATCTGGTGTGATGTACTCATTATTTGACTTTCTCCTTCTCTCAAAGAATAGCCAGTCATTTAAAAAAATAATAAATTAACTAAGTTGTTGCACAAAACAGGTGCACTTCCTATCCTTCCAAGACCTACCAAACAGCTGAAGCAACCATTCCTAGCTGTATTTCTACCACTAACTCCCTTTGCTAAGAAAATAGCCATAAAAACACTTATAACAACAACCATTTACTCTTCTGTGGTGCCCACCCTGAACTATCGGCAGGCACTTTTAATCCCCAGCTAGCTGAATGCATTAATCTTACTTTATAAATTCCAGAGTCATCCTCCTGATCTCCTCTCATGGCTGAAGGTGCCCTTGGGTTTCCAGTGCTGCCTCCTTGACCTTCTTTTGTGGCTGTTGTTTCTTGCACAGCTTTCTTGGGCCATACGCGCTTCACGAAAGGTGCAATAACGGGATAGATATAGGGCTCAAGGAATTTCTTGTAGACCCAGAGGAGAACAGGAATGACAATACAGGGAATGCACACCATGGCTTCCTCTTGTTTGTGACAAAGCTGGAGAGGGGCAAAGAAAAACAACTTAGGATGACAAGGTTGTATGCTGTGAGATAAGAAAACAGTCTTTAATAAATAAAGACTGTAGTTGATATTCATGTATGAAAGACACTTTAGATACAGAATCCTTTAACCTTGGATCCTTTAATTACTGTTCTGGATTCAAAAATGCTGTGCATTACAACGTTATAAAGTTCTCAATAAGACAAACATTCTTGGCATTACAAAAAAAAAAAAGTTTGCTATTAATTCATCAGTCCCATAGCTGGAACTTAGAAAAAAAAAATACAGAAAAGTTTTTGCTTAAACCACACAAAACTAATTTGAAAAGCAAGCTGCAGGTAACAGTCCACTCCTTACTATAGTGAAACAGCGGGGCCAAAAGGTTTGTTTTCTCATTCCTTTTTGACTTAAGGTGAAATTAAATGGCAGGAATCTGGTCCATCAAACAGTTTGCCACTACTGAAGGGCAGACAGGTGGGAAAGTGTAACAGAATCCTAGTCAGAACTTGAGAAAAGGACGGTATCATAGAATCATTGAACGTTTTGGGTCAGAAGGGACCTTAAAGCTCCTCCAGCTCCAACCCCTGCCACAGGCAGGGACACCTTCCGCTAGAGCAGCTTGCTCCAAGCCCCTGTGTCCAACCTGGCCTCGAACACCACAAGGCATGGGGCAGCCACAGCTTCTCTGGGCACCCTGTGCCAGCGCCTCAGCACCCTCACAGGGAGGAGCTTCTGCCTAAGAGCTCAGCTCAGTCTCCCCTCGGGCACGTTCAAGCCATTCCCCTTGGCCTGTCCCTACAGGCCCTTGTCCCAAGCCCCTCTCCAGCTTTCCTGCAGCCCCTTTAGGCACTGGAGCTGCTCTGAGGTCTCCCCTTCAGGAGCCTTCTCTTCTCCAGGCTGACCCAGCCCAGCTCTCTCAGCCTGGCTCCAGAGCAGAGCTGCTCCAACCCTCGCAGCATCTCCATGGCCTTCTCTGGCCTCGCTCCAACAGCTCCACGTCCTTCTTGTGCTGCTGCCCCAGAGCTGGATCAGGGCTGCAGGCGGGGTCTCCCCAGAGCACAGCAGAGGGGCAGGATCCCCTCCCTGAGCTGCTGCTCACGCTCTGGAGGTGCAGTCCAGCACACGGTGGGGGGAGTTCTGGGATCAAGCACTTGCTGAAGTCAGGTCATAGGGAGCTTCTCCTCACCCAACCCCCCAAGTCCTTCTCCTCAGTCTGCTCCATCCAGTCTCCCCCAGCCTGTGTTTGTTCAACCAAGGGGCAGGACCTCGCACTTGGACTCCCTTTTATGCCACACTAATTCTGTACTGTCAGACGAACTATTAGACAATAATTCCTTCTCTCTCTCCCCAAACCAGGAATGAGACAATGTTAATAAACTCATCCATTAAAGCCATTCAGAAAGACAATTCAGCTACTCTCTCTGCCAGATAGCAAATTTCCAGCAGGGTATTGCAGGTATATCCACCAGCTAACAAACATGCCTGAAGGGAACACCTCAGCCTGCCCTCGAGGTAACAGCAAGCATCTCTGGAGCAACTTCATGTCAAGATACTAGCTGAAAAGTACGTCATACCTGTGCCAGATGGAAGTCTCTGGAAGCCTAACACTCGTCCTAAGATAGCAAAGTTCCGTTCATGAGGTTCTTCTGCGGTTTGGTAGTGCTCTGTGGCCTGGTTAGCAGGTAATTTTTAGGGAAAAAAAAAGAGTAATAGGGCAAATGGTCACATTTTAATAGCTAGCTTATTTCTTTGTGATACAAGCTTTTGTACCACAAACACACATTAGGGTCAGCAGAAAGAACATGCATGACATGGCAAATTCGAATGGTGTTTGTTTTGCATGTTTAACTCGGTTGTTAATTAACCATTATGGAAACAAAGCAAGGGTGCACAGACAAAAGGTAGGGTTTTTCCTTCTTTTTCCACAGAGGATGCGCCAGTCCAGAAGGGCCGATTCACACAACACGTTCCGGTTCTGCAGCCCCGGAGCACTCCCCCGAGGCCAGCACAGCCCTCCCACTCCGTGCAGCAGTTTCCGCCTATCCCGTTCATGTAAAGCCTGGAGAGCGGAGCCTTCCCGACTCGGTGAAGCTCCAACAGGAGCGTTCAGACCGAAGCGCTCCACACCTCAGCAAGAGCTGGGCACGCCGGCATACACCCGGTTAACGCAGAGGAGCAGCCAGCCCCCGTGCAGCCGGGATGGAGGGAGGCAAAGCACAGAGGGCCCAACGGGCCCGCACTCACCTCAGCGGCCCCTACCCAGCTCCGCTACCGGCTGCCTCAGCCTCTGCCGCCGCACCGGAAGCGGGCCCCGCACGTCCGGTCAGCGCAACCGCCAATGGGAGGTGGTGGCGTGTACGTCACATGGTACACTCCCTCCCCGTGCTGAGCGCCTGCGCGCTGCGCTGCACACTGGCAGCGGGACGCGTCATGCACGGCTCTACATGCCCCGTTAATTATCCCGGTTAATCAACTCGGTTTGTAGGTGAGTAACTCCCGCACGGCACCATCATCTCCCCGGCTGACGGAATACGAAGAGGGCAGGGCTAAGCCACGCGCCCACGGCAGACAGCCAGCACCCCCCCACACCCTGCCCCACACAGGCACAGAGCCAAAGCACTGGAGGTTATAGTATTTATTTCTGTACATCGGCGGCAGCAAGCTTACTCCCGAGCCATGAGCTTCTGCTTCTTCAGCTTCTTTTGGGAGATCTGGAAAACAACGAGGGAATGGAGAAAGTGAGAATGGGAGCCTACAGATCCACTCTCAGTCACCCTGTGAGATCACAGCCACCCCTTGCCCAAAATTCTTGGGAATTGCAAGGGATTCCTTCCCCTGTTCACAAAACCACCCACCAATCATACCTGCACTAGAGTTTTAACAGTATTTAGCATACTATTATATAAGTGTCCTGACAAGTATTAATTCGCCTAGAGAGTGTCAACTCACAATTTCCTGACACTCTGCTCCAGCAGAGGGGCACAAACCATTCCCATGAGAGACCTCAGCGAAGCCATCTCCCTCCTTCTCAACACTGTATCTACAGTAAACAATGAGGTCGCTCAGAATTGGCATGGAATTTTTTTTCACAGTTGCTCGAAAGGTGTCCTAAGATCATCATCACAGCAACCCATTCCACTGCAGGCAATGGTGCACCAACCCTCCCATCCCTGGATGGTGACAAGGTTATGATGCTTGGTACCTTTTTCTTTTGAGCAACCTCCTCCTCCGGCTTGGGGACAATCTGCTCCTTCTCGGTGAGGATCATCTCGATGTGGCAGGGGGAGCTCATGTAGGGGTTGATCCTGCCATGCGCCCTGTAGGTGCGCCGGCGCATCTTGGGGGCCTTGTTGACTTGGATGTGCTCAATGACCAGAGAATCCACGTCAAGACCCTGGGCAGAGGAAGAAATTAAACCTGTCACTGGGTTTTCCTCTTCACATCCATCATCTCTCCACAAAAAATGGGAATAACCACTCCTCCATGCACGCTGGTGCTGGCAAACAGAACAGCTGAACCTGGTGATGCCACAGTACTGGTTGTTTGCCAAGGAAGCACCAACATTAAGTCGGAAAGACAGACTGCACTACCATGTACCACAACAGATTTAGGAGAGAATACACATAAACATAACTAGAAAATAAACACAGACATATGGAAGAAGATCTCTCAAAAAATGATGCTGATGGCTCAGAAGAAAAAACTTAGCATTTTTTCACAGGTACTCCAAAGGTGTCCTAAGATACGTCATCACCGCCATCAAACTTCCCAAATTAATGTCACAAAGGTACAATCTGCCCCAAGATTTTGCTTTGGTTTGTAGTTTATAGGAGCACTAAACCACACCTGCTCCAAAGCCACCTTGCTGGGGAGCAAAGCCACACAACCTGACACAAGTGCTCTGTGTCTGTAACACCCACCTTGAGCTCAGCGTTGCTCTCCGCATTTTTGAGCATGTGCAGCAAGAACTCTGCGCTTTTCTTTGGCCAGCGTCCCTGCGTCCAGCCCCACTGCTTGGCCTGGGGGAAGAGGAAGAAGAGTAAGAAAGGGAAAAAGGAGGAAAAAAAGGAGGGGGAAATGAGGAAGGAAAAATGGGAATAAGGGGGAGGAGGGGGAAGAAGAAAGAGGCAGGACCTTTGTCCCGGTACAACACTACCTGCCCTTTATGCAGTGTTAACTTACCATTACATTGCCTTAAAGAGATACCAAAATAATTAAATTTCATCAATTACTAGACACTGCAAGTATGTGCAACGCTTCCTGTACCAGAATTAAGTAAATGAGTGAATCTTTTCTCTCTCTTGCGCAACCTGGGCAAGTGGAAAGTGTCCCTCATACGCTTTAAGGTACCATCAACCAAAGTAACTTAACTACTTTGTATTTTCATACAACCATCACCACTACCACCACCGGACTGCTCCTCGCACTTCCCTCCCATCATCCCAACACATCCTCCCCTTGTTTCACCCCAGCCCTCACCTGGGCGCATCTACCGACACCCCCGTTATAGCGGCGGAAAGGAACGCACTGCTTCTTCAGGGTGACATCTTTCAGGTACTTGGTGGCCTTGCGAATGTGCATGCCCTTGATGGCTTGGGCTGTCTCACGAGTGTTCTGGCAAAACAAAGCACAACAAACTTCACTTTAATGCCATCTTTCCAAGTTATAAAGTGAGTAAAAGCACTCCTTGCTCCTTCCCAGGTATTTGTTACAATTGCAGTTTAAAAGCATCACGCACACCCAAATTAATGTAAAATACCCAGCAACACTGTATTTACTGTTTTCACTACCTGCTCTTCTAACCCTTGTTATGACTTTCACTACTGAACTTACAGCTCTAGAGACATCTTTACTGGTTTTTACCCCGTACCTCGATCTTTACAAGGAGAAAAAAACAAAGTTTTAGTATTTATGCTTTTCTTAACTCCTCTTTTGCCACTAATCCCCAAAAGTAAAGCAAGCACCTGAATGATAAATCCTCGCTAAAACGTCAAACATGACACCTCAGGGACGTGATAACAAACCATGTAAAGAA